AATGGAATAGAAAGATAAGGGATAAGTAGCTATCCACTCTGCTCAATAGCCAACCAGGGAAAGATGCAGAAAGAGGCAATTCCCCTGAGAGGAGGTCGTCTCAGGGTACAGCTGGCAAACCAAGTATCCCGAAAATTCAGGTGCATACATCAATCCCCAATGCTGTGATCCCTTAGCAGTCCCAAGAGTTCTCCTCAGTGGCTGGGGTAGACTTTGCTTTAAAAACTCTTGGAAACACATACAGGACACAGACATAACAAACAACAAAATAACACTCATTAAAAACACAGCCACAGAGATGTGCAGAAAAATGTGTAATTGTACTAGATAGTAGCACTCAGAGGCCTCAGTCAGAATTGTGTGGTGGGTGCTGTACAGACAAAATAAAAGACAGTCGCTGCCTGGAAGACCATGTGGGGAGTTTATTTTTCAATTTCTATGAGGAAACAACAGTGACAGGTCAGTATAAAATAAGAGACAAACCAAGAGAGGGTGAGAGAAAAATCAGACAGAAAGAAAAGAAGTACTTAAGGCCTGGCTTGACAAAGCCCTGGCAGAGATGATTTAGTTGGGGTTGGTCCTGCTTTGAGCAGGGGATTGGACTAGATGACCTCCTGAGGTCTCTTCCAACCCTAATATTCTAAATTCCTCCCAGGGGGACGACTTTCCATGAAGCAGCTCCAATACTATCCACCTTCAAGGAGAAAAACAAACAAACAAAAAAAGGCATTGAAAGCACAGTTCACAATAACAGAAGCAAAGATTTACTAAGTAGCCAAAGTCACCACCTCAAGTACATAGGAATGCCTTTACCCTTTCCAGGCATTGAGTATGCCAGTGGTCTGCTGCCTGCTGACCTGCATTGGAGGTCTCCTCATAAGAAAAAGAGGGAATAGAAAGCACTTCCTACATCAGAGGGGCTTGCACTTTCAGGTGACCCTGGATTCCTCCCTGTAGATCCTAGAAGAAATGAAGGAAATGAGAGAGAATGAAACCACTAGTGCAAATTGAAAAATGGGGTCTAAAGTGGAACCATTCCCCATAGCCAAACTCCCTTTGGCATGAGCAGGGCGCCCAGGATTGAGCCCCCGCTGGGTCAAACAGACATTGAAAACCTCAAAAAACAAACAGGTGCCTTACCTCCTTAAGCTCCAACACCCAGATGTGCATGTGCTCATCACAGAAGACGCCCGGTCTCTGGGCCTGTAGATGGAGGAATAATTCCTTGTCTTCCTCCGACATGGTTCCAACAACAGCATGAGGGCATCATGTCTCAGGACATATTTGTGGTTAAATGTTCTCGACAGAACAAATTGCTTAAACAAAACATTGACTCTCCAGGGGAGTGAAGATGGGGGCATGCCCTAATTGTGAAACGATGGAAAATCATCGATCCAAAATACAGTTGCATAGGCATTTGCTCTGAGAGCTGTGTAAGTGCCACAATGCACATATATTCCAATGTCTGTCATACATCCTACCCTGTACTCTCTCTCTCTCTCTGCACCACAGGTTATTTTGGAAGGAATGACACCTGGTGTATCAGAGTACATTCAGGTGTCTGGATTTCTCTAGGCATCTTTGCAATAACTTCTACATTGCCACATTCTCAGGAGACTTTATATTAAATATCATACTGGTGTGATAACAATATCAAGGACCATTGCTACAGTCAGACAGCTGCTAGTGCAGCTACTCCAGTCTTGGTTCCAAAGTGATGATTTATGATCCATTATCTATGTATCAGTACAGTTCTACCATGTGCAGTTCATATTTATGGGACATCCTCACTCCAAATACTATGCCTCAGTGCTTTCTACAGATCTGTGATCCACTTCTTTCAATTGCCTTTTAGGGAGGTTAATAAATACGCAGTCTACAACGAAGTATATGAGAACCCAGCTCTCATTACAAAAGGAGGTAGCTAGGATGTCATGTTGGGGTTTTTAAGATGTTAGACAACTATATCTGGGTGATGACTGTACTTGTCTCTCACTTGTCATAGAAAATCCTGCATTATTACGCATTCTTTGGAAACATGCCTAAAGTTGAAATGTCATATATAGAACTCTGTGGTGAATGCTCAGTCCTAGAACAGGAAAACCCAACATAAGCTCATATATTCACCCATTTTCCTGGCTGACTGTTGTGATGCACGGTACAGTGTGTGATGACTTCTTGTTGCTAGCAAGCAGAGCCCTTCACATGCCACATAGTCAGTCTGGAGTGGCAAAGTTATATCTCTGCATGCTCCATGTAAGGCTTTCCAAATTATACACAGTATCCAAAGTTCTTGTTCAAGTCAAATTTTCACCACAGGCTGCACTTATGCTTTATCTCACTTCCCAGGTGTTCTAATGTACTACTAAACTTTCACATGAAATCCAAACCTTATAGACATATATCCTTCAGCACACACATTTTTCTTATTTGTTTCTAAAACGATGAGAACATTAAACTTAGTTTTACATGGTTTTCCTAATGTCATAAGGTCCATCGGCAGAACAAATGTATTTGGGCCAACTCTTCGATTGGAAGACATTTTCTGCACTTCTTCAATATTATTTGTCGATATCCCTCCGTATGTTCTAAAATTCTTCGTTACTTCTTTAAAGTATGATCCAAATGCACTGCTGAAATAGGCTAGTCTCCTTTGTTCTCTATTGCCAGAGACCAGATGCAAAATTCTGCCTTGACACACATCCCATCCATGCAACCTCATTGAAGACAG